GCGCTGCCGCCGGGAGGTCCGGGAGCTCCTGGCGGGCCGGGACACCGAGGACATCGAATGGTGAGAGGGTCCCCAGGGTCATTCCCGGCCACCCCCGTGCTCGGGGACACCCAAGGTGCCAGCGTGGCTCGTCCCCAGGGAGGACCTGTCCTGCCTGCCCTTCACCACCATGTGCATCAAGGAGAGCCTGAGGCTGCACCCGCCCGTCACCGCCGTGTCCCGGCGCTGCACCGAGGACGTGGCCCTGCGCGACGGTCGCGTCATCCCCAAGGGTACGGACACCGCGGGGTGTCCCCGGTGTCACCATCCCACCCCCGTTCCCTGTCCCTGAGGTGGCCGTTCCTGTCCCACCGTGTCATCCCCAAGGGTACGGACACCCCGGGATGTCCCCGGTGTCACCGTCCTGCCCCCGTCCCCTGCCCCTGAGGCGGCCATTCCTGTCCCACTGCATCATCCCCAAGGGTACGGCCACCCCGGGGTGTCCCCGGTGTCACTGTCCCACCCCCATCCCCTGTCCCTGAGGTGGCTGTTCCTGTCCCACCGTGTCATCCCCAAGGGTACGGACACCCCGGGATGTCCCCGGTGTCACCGTCCTGCCCCCGTCCCCTGTCCCTGAGGTGGCCATTCCTGTCCCACCGTGTCATCCCCAAGGGTACGGACACCCCGGGGTGTCCCTGGTGTCACCGTCCCACCCCCATCCCCTGTCCCTGAGGTGGCCGTTCCCGTCCCACCAGGGATCATCTGCCTGATGAGCATCTACGGGACCCACCACAACCCGGAGCTCTGGCCCGACCCCGAGGTAGGGACACGGGGGCGTGGGGCGTCCCTGTCACTGTGGTGGGGACAGTTGTGTCCCTATGGCATGACGGTGTCCCTGTCACCACGGTGGGGACAGAGGTGTCCCCATGTCCATGCCATGATGGTGTCCCTCTCACCGTGGTGGGGACAGTGTCCATGTCCCCATGGTGTGATGGTGTCCCTGTCACCATAGTGGGGACAGTGTCCATGTCTTCATGGTGTGGCAGTGTCCCTGTCCCCATGGTGGTGCCAGTCGTGTCCCCATGGCGTGGCAGTGTCCCCATGGCAGTGCCAGCCATGTCCCCATGGTGCAGCAGTGTCCCTGTCCCCATGGCAGTGCCAGCCGTGTCCCCATGGCATGGCAGTGTCCCTGTCCCCATGGCAGTGTCCCTGTCCCCATGGCGGTGCCAGCCATGTCCCCATGGTGTGGCAGTGTCCCTGTCACCATGGTGGGGACAGTGTCCATGCCCCCATGGTGTGGCAGTGTCCCTGTCCCCATGGCGGTGCCAGGCGTGTCCCCATGGCGTGGCAGTGTCCCTGTCACCACGGTGGGGACAGCGTCCGTGTCACTCCAGGTCTACAACCCGCTGAGGTTCAGCCCTGAGAACACCAAGGGACGTTCCCCATCGTCCTTCATCCCCTTCTCCGCCGGTCCCAGGTACTCCGGGGTGGGGACACGAGTGTCCAGGTGCCACCACCCCCGTGGCTGGGTTGTTGTCCCCGAGCTGTGACATCCAGCTGGGACAACCTCGGGGAGGTGTGTGGGGGGGGTGAGGTGTCACCCGTGTCACCCGGGAGGTGACGAGGGGGCTGCGGTGGCAGGAACTGCATCGGGCAGAGCTTCGCCATGGCCGAGATGAAGGTGGTGGCGGCGCTGACGCTGAACCGCTTCGCGCTGCGGAGGGACCCGGCGCGGCCGCCCCCGCGCCGCAAACCGGAGCTCATCCTGCGCGCCGAGGACGGGCTGTGGCTGCTGCTGGAGCCGCTGCCCCGCGACGCGGCCTGAGGGACACGGGGACACCGCGGGGACACCGCGGGGACACCCTGCGGGGACACCCTGTGGGGTGGGTGTCACACCTGGGAATAAACGCGGCACAGAAGGGTCGTCGTGGTGCCAACACGGGGTTGATGCGTCCTCCTTGGTCACAGGACACCTCATGGCATGGATGTGACACCTCATGGCATGGATGTGACACCCCCATGGCACATGGGACTGT